TTGGTGAGAAGACGCCTCTCACATTATAAAATGTTTGAACACGTTATGTCGGAGCATAAATAGTCATCCTTTTGTAAAGTCCTGATGTCAGCTGATAGTCATACAGTCTAAAACATAATGAAGCCTTTCTTAGAATTTCTAAACTTACGTGTAGTATTCTCGTTGTGTTCCATAAATTGGTAACTAGTATTATGTGTACAATCTACGTCGTCATCAATGTTTCACCCAAAAGCTCAATTACTAGACGGATTGTTTCCAAGTTTATGTTTGCTAAACTTACGACCTAAAAGAGTATTTCTCTTGTCTTAAATGAAAAATGTTTCGACACTTTACATTATTGAAACATGCACGAACTGTCAGTCTTGCTGTGCTAAGTTGTACAAAAAATGTATGCAGTTGTGCAAATATTTAGATGCAATCAAGGGTTTTAATGATATTATATACCTCTAAAATATAAATAATATTTTTTTCTTAAAAGAATCTATAATATTTACATTACTATCTTCAAAAGAAGCCCTTATTAGTCCCCTACCGGTGAAACCGGAGGGGACTATAGGTTTCCTCTGAGTTTTTCCGTCTGTCCGTCTGTCTAGCTGTCCGTCCGTCTAGCTGTCCCTCTGTCTGTAAGTCTGTTCCACTTGGTTTTCTGCACTTTTTTTCTTAACACTTGCAGATATTGAGCTGATTTTTGGTATGTGACTTAACCTTGATGAGTTATGGATCAAGTTTGCATTTCATTCCGCTTCATTGATTTTTGACGGAATTATGGCATTTTCAATTTTTAACGGGAACCAGATCTAGATTACACTTGCCGGTAGGTGACTAGTATTGCTAATACAATACTCTCAGAGTGCTTGTTTATTTTGTGTTGCGAAAAACCTGTCAAATTATCCTCAATAATACTCGCAATGTAAATCGAATTATCGAAATTTACCGAGAGAAATTTAAAATACGAGGAAGAAAATTGTCCTGCTTGTGCTTTTCTCGATTACTGCAGAAGCTGGGTTGCAGGGACTCAGTTGAACTTCTGCATATTTACGAAATGTTTCTGGTATAAGTAGAAGTGCTAAAGTTTACCCACTTAAAAGTGTTACGAGGGTTGATCCAAAGTAATGTCACAATTCCTATAAAATCTTTAATTATCAAATGTTACTGATTCTCATATCTATTTTCATTTTTGCCTTAAAATTTCATTCGATTATATTAAATAATTTTGAAAATATTAAGATAAACACAACGTAGAGTTATGTTTATTGCCGCACTGCAAGAATATTATCGATATCAATATGACCTTACTTTTCGGCAGTCATTTTCAGTTCATGTTATTTTAACCTATAAAGTGCTTCTTTTTAATATAATTTACTGCCATTTGCCATTAAACCGACTTGTTTTGAGTTGTAGCATTAAAGTTATTTGAACTTTGTCCAAATGTTATTTCTAACTTCATTCTTTTTTGCGTAAATCTTAATATTGTATCACCAGACTCAAAATCTGAAACGTCATAACGACGTCGGTACATTTTTGCCGTGCGTCGATAAATGAGACCCAAATTTGTGTTTATTTTAATATGTTATAAAGTATGGATATATCTGAATGAAATTTTATGGCAGAAGACGAAATGGATAGGGGTATTTTTTGGTTGAAAATTTTCGATTATAAAAGACTTTATAGCAGTTGTGACATTACTGTACATGTTGGATCAACACTCGTATTAATATAACATTGCATTTATAAAAAGAACATTAAGACTTTAATAACGGTTCATATTGGAGACTTTTATTTAAACTTGCCTTTTTTAGAAGGGAAATTAAAAGATTTAACAAACTTGGTGTTTAAAATTTAATAAATATTAAGAGAAAAATAAAGACAGAAAATGTTACTTTAAAAATAGTTAAGTATCTCTCTTGCACTTACATGTACCTTCGTTTTTGATTAAAATAATACTTAATATTGACATAGTTAATAAAGGTGACAGTGGTTTAGCGAAATGACTTTAACCTGTGCAAACAGAACGAATTTTTATTTGTCCTCTCCGTTTCAGACCATTTGTTGTTGTGGTCAATACACAAGTCCAGTACAGTATATGTTCAGAACCTTAGTTTTAGCCTTCGCTAATAATTGCAACAGGACTATTGGGGAACTTTCTTGCTGTCATATACATGCATTATTTTCAAGAAAAACAAGATTTGTACATAATTATATAAGAAACCATTATGAGGTTTGTAATTTTTGATTCCATGGCCGCAATCGCCAGACATGCAATAGGGAGAGCTATGGATACCCCCCCCCCCCAAAAAAAAGACATGATTACATGGTCAGATGTCCCTGAAGAAATAAACGAGACTAATAACGGTGGTCAATGAACGCTGGGCTTTTAATTAGCTCAAATGAATTTAATAAAATATTAGCAGCTGCATACAATGTATCTGGCGGTGTAACACAGGTTTGACATTTGAAGGATTATCGGCTTATGTGAATAACATTAATCAGTTAATTGCGCTACTGTGCAGGCTTTAGATGAAAAGGCCATAAATAATGATATTCTGTCTACACTGCATTGACGTATGGTATGTGTGATTTACTTAATTATTGAAAATTATGCGATTTTCATACTCTTGAATGAAGAATAAATGCATTTTGCTTGACTTCTGTTAACTTTGGAAATCATCATGTATAAGCATATTGATAATGGAAACTCATATAAAAAGGTGCCAGAGGCGAGATTAATATACTTTTCTGAAATTAAGAACAAGGACAACATATTCAATAATGAAATAGAGTTGAAACATAGATATTTAATAAAAAACGGTTCACGTTCTGTCATCACCAACTTAATTTAAAAAAAATAAAATGAAATGAAAAGAACACGCCCCCTCATCCATTTTATTAATCTGACAAATTCATTTTGTTTTTGTTCTTTATTTTTTGTTTGTTTGAATATTTCTTAATTTTGTTTGGTTTGGTTGGATTATCAAAATCAACATTATCATTCATTTTTTCAACAAAAGGACTACATTGTATGATAAGGGTCAATTTTGGCCCCCATAAATCAGCATTTTTAAATGTGATTCAGGTGTTCTATATTGTTTTTTTTTATTATGTAGAAGAGTATATATTGGAGATATTTTTCAATACATTTGTCACATTTATTTGCACTTACTGGCTGTATATGAAATCAGAAATGATGTTATTTTTCAGTCATAGACGATCAAATTAAAACCCCCCAAAAATGAGTCTTTTTCTCAACATTTTTCGTGTGGGAAACAGAGCGCAGCTTTGAAGATGCGAAATTCAGGAATATTTTTATTACTTTTGATAACCTTAAAATTAATAATTTGAACCCAAAAAAGGACTGATATAATGATTGATCCTTTCATTTTTGTTAACGTTCATTTCACAGCAATATTTATTTGTTGTCGTTGGTGGTTAAATAGCAATCTTCTGATCATCACAAAGACAGCTAGATGTACTATCAAATCTGACAACAGTATTAAGCCTCATATTCTACACATTCACATGACTGTTAGGAATCTAGTTACATGACGGGACATCTGATTTGTTAATCAGTATAAACTGAAAACATTGACTTTTCTAAACAAAGAAAGAATCAAACGGTGCAGGGCTTATGTCGAAATAATTATCCAAGTGGTCATATGCAGCAAAAGGGAAGGTCGTGCATGATAATATAAGCTGTAGATAAGTAAATATCAATTAATATCAATATATCTCTATGACACAAAGAAATACAAATGTGGTTAAAAGGGGGTTTTCTTTGTTTTATCTACCACATTAAACTGACAGAGCGCTCCTGATTGTCCCCTCTACTGATATCGATGCAGTATAAAAATGATTTTCTGGAACCATATTTTTTTCCGGCATCGAACTTGGTAACATTTTCAACAATTGCCTTTATTTTGAAGTTAATATAGAATTGCATTTGCATTTTTAAATTTCAAGATATCAGAATGAATAAAACTGATAAACTCTAGCGACAGATATCAATAGGTAGGTTATCCAGAATATAAGTATACAGTACAATTTTTAAGAGTTCTTGCATATTTAAGCTTGAATTATTAATTCTCCATAGTTATTATTTTAATATTTAATTTTATGCAAGTTGTTACATGGAATGCAAGTAGCATTAAGATGACAATAAGTTTAGCGGACAAAGGTTTTGGGGGTTTTTTTTGTTTTGTTTTTTTCAATTTCTTAACTGAACTCACCTACTTTCACTGACTAACCCATGCCAAGCACATGAAATTGTCGTCGCTATACCTGTCTGTCTGAAATTAGCCTAAGAGAAGATTTGTCATTTTATTTTTGACTTTTGCCAAAAAAAAAAAACAATATGAGCAAATATCAAAGTTGGGCATCGTTTAAGTCATCAAAATAATGGGACTGTGTTATTTTCACGGGATCCTGACATTACAAGACGCTAGGTCCTGACGCGCATTAACCATGTTAACTGTTTCCGAAATCTATCACTTGTTGTTTTGACTGCGAAGTTCATCTTCAAAAAAGCGGAAAAAGTGTAAATATAAGTACGCATATTTCCTCTCTTTTACGCGATAAAAAACAAATTATCTCGTACGACACATCTGTTGTCTGTTATTTTGTCATCAAACAAGCAATCGTTTCAGAAGATAATCATCGCACACTGTCACAGCGAGAAATCTGATAACAACGTAGATGAGCCACAAGTTGCATGGTCAGCCCCAACAGAAGGCCCGATACGTGGCTGTGTAGATTAAGGCTTGTTTTTGATTCTGAAAATATCGGTGTTCATTTACAATTATTAACTATTGCTGGTCCTGTAGTGGAATGTGGCAGATGTCGCCTAATTAAGCTAAATACGTAGATGTAGTTTTAACTGCTCCATCATTTGACGATACTGAGACCATAAATGTTCATTTGTAATCAGATTTCAAAACAGAAACTGCATGTTCTCGTCACAGCAGTTAACCAGTTACCATTATAGATAGACCATCACAATGAACATAGGGATACACAAACAAATTCCTTGCATTTTGTGACTAACAAATTGGTTCGCAATGGAAACAAATTTTTCATTTACGACGATCTATTACAACAAGGAGTTTAAAAATAATTTTACAAAAAGTAATGAGTCTGACGTCACAGCATGTGATAGTGCACAATGGCCAGAAAGATGGGAGCATATACATGAAATTTTTACTTGCATTGGAATTGTTTTAGTTGTTTTAAGCTGTGTTGGAAATATAGTAGCAATTGTATTCATCAGGAAAAACCCCGCACTTCATTCTCCAACATATACAGGAATTGCGTGTCTGGCATTCTGCGACATAATCGCTGCAATTTTTCGATTTCTTAAATTTCGCTCTCATTCTATCTACATTGTGATAAATGGCTGTACAGACAGAGAACTGTTTGAGGACACAATCTCTATTTTATCATTTCTGACACTAAATTCATCATATTTTCACCTTACAATGATATCCGCGGTGCGATATAGACTGATTTCCCGCCCTTTCAAGACCTACATAGGCCTCAGCTGTAGAACTGTATTGAAGTATTCAGCCGTCTGCTGGGGTCTCTCACTGATCGCTAGCATTGGATATGGCGCCAAGGTATTAACCATCAGCCACGTGAAGGAACACATATCTGACGTCATAGAAATTGCATTTGTTTTATATCTTTTTTCCATTACCATTGTTCCTTTACTGACGATTCACATTTTAAAAATTCGAAAGCTTCGAAAGTCTCTTGTGGTCAACAAACGACATGAAGTGCGCATGCACACAATGATGGCCGTGATCTCAGTAAGTACAGTGGCTTGCATCCTCCCAATCGCCGGACTACAGATAAACAAGACCATCAAAGACCAAAACAAGGCCTTCAGCAGACTAGAAATGTTTGTTCATGGCCAACTGTCCCAAGTTTTTCTGGCGCTGAACCACGCCCTACATCCCCTGCTATTCTTCCTGCTGTCCGAACTGACCAAGAAAAAATTCAAACCTTTCTCTCAGAATGATGTCATCAACAAGTGTTTAGTTCTTAGCGAGGAATCACTGAGGTCAGGGAATTTTATTCATAATGTCTTACATTGTAAATTGTTTGTTTCATTTTTATCCATATTACATCAACTATAGGTGTCTGAATAACTTCTGTCGATCAGTGAGCTATATTATTGTGCCATGACACAGAAACGCTGTTAGAATACTGACTTGTCGGTCTTCGGGATTTGTTACTAACTGTCATTCTTAATCATAGGTCTGACTCAACCCAAATTTGATCTCGACATCCATTGCTCAAAAACGAATTTTATGACGAATTATATATTTTTAAAAATTTATCTAAAAAGCTAAGATTATCAGTTATTTCTTAAATTTATTCACCTTACTTCTTTTTTCTGTGTTTTAAAGCAGTTACTTATTTTTACTTTTTTACACTAGAAATTTAAAAACAAATTTGAATCCCATTCATCTTCAGAAGGGTAACTGTATTCAAAAGCCCTTACACTGACGATTATGTTATTGAAAATACTAAGTATTTAAATCAATATGTATTTCATCTAACTTACCATTTTTTCTTTCTGTCATTTGCTGAAAATCTTTTGAATGGTATCTTAAAATATGGATATGCATTTTGTTACTTGTTATCTAAATGATTTTCATGTCAAAATATGTTTTTTATAATTCAAAATTTAGCTATTAATTAATGATTTGATTAATTTAGATATTAGTCAAAAAGGATATTTTTTGATGCAGCAAATGGACTCATATTTTTAGGTTGAAACTATATAATATACTTTTAAGAAGTTATTTTCTAACCTTTTTTGGAATACAGATATTTTCTTTTTCAGAAGAAAAATACAAGTTGCTGATTAAACCAGTTTATAATTCTTATGTCTGAATTTGAATTCTTCTAAGAAATATCGACATTTGGTTTGCAACGAAAACAGTGGCTATAATCTGTTCGACTTGATATGTGTTTTAGAAATTTATAGCAAAGGCAAATTGGTGCTAAGCGCAAGAACATTGAATATCAAGTTTAACAAATTGGTTTAGAAAAATAAAGTCTTTTCTTCAAGGAATTCTTCGAGGATTTTGTCCACTTTAACGCGAGGGGAAAATAAAATCAGAAACTGTACACGACCTCGCGTGTTAACTGTCATAGAGGGAGCATCTGTAACCTTGTTTCGGATAATTAATCCTGATTTTTACATGGAGCATATTCTACATTTTCTTCCTAGAAATAGACCACTATGTTTCTACGAAACGGTACATACCTGTTGGATTTATACGTAGTTTAGTAGTGTAAAGAAATTATTGTTATGAGGAAATTGGTTTTATGAAGAAATTAGTTTCGTTAAAGGAATCCGGTATGTTTGAAGAAATCGCAAATCACTTTTCCAATATTAGCGTGATAAATTCTGAAAATAATACGTGCAGGAAAATTCCATTTTCTGACGATTGGCGCACTGCGTTTGACACAGCGACTTCTATTGGAGTAACATTAGCCTTAATAAGTCTGGCCGGAAATATATCAACTATAGTCCAAATCCGGATGAATAAACTATTACACTCACCCACCTATACAGCCATTTTGTGTTTGGCGATATCCGACAGTATCGCTGTGGTTTTCAGATTTATAAAATTCCGTGCTAATTATCTCTACGCACTCATCTTTATGTGTATAGATGAAAACACCAAAGTGTACGACGCCTTTGCTGGGGTGTTTGCATTTGCGACATTAAATGCCTCTTACTTCCATTTAGTGATGCTTAAAGCTTTGCGTTACTACATCGTTGCTCACCCTCTTAAAAGCCACAGTGTTTTGACTTCCAAGAGAATTGTCGGATGTTCTATAATTTGTTGGACCACTAGCGCCGTTATTGGAGCAATCTACGGACTAAAAGCCGCCATGAGTGTCGGGATGCTCTGGAAAGGCATGTCCAGTAGGACGTCCATAAGTATAGAATTTGCTTGTGTGTTTTATTTTCTTGCTATTACTTTGATTCCTTTTTTGACTTTACATGTGATGAAAATTCGGAAAATGCACACATACATGACCGTGCGACATCGTCAGGAAAGAATGATGCACACGATGATGGTCGCCATTTGTGTTACGACAGTCGCCTGTCTGATTGTCGTTCTCGCCTTCTGTTTTCACTTCTTTATTGACGGAAATGAGCCATTTTACCTCTCCAATGTCGCTCAGATTTTGTTTTTTGTTAATCACGCATCTCATCCCATCTTCTATTTCTTATTTTCTGAAGTGTCAAGAAACAGTTGTTGTCGTAAAAGAGGAAGTTCGCCGTTTTACAGCACTACAAACAGTCGTTTACGCAAGACGCGACTTCGAACATTCCACAAGGAAGAGTCTGTGTTGAATGAAAAGATTTAAAACAATTTTTATCACTGATTGATTAAAATTAATTTATATGAAAGTTAATTGATATGAAATATGGTGAAGCATGATTGCGTGTTATGGTTTTAATTTTACACTTTGAAAGACGATCTTTATGAAAATTTCATTATTAGAATGTAGTTTAGGAAAAATTAAGTCTCTTAATCTTCAAAAAAGTTCTAAGTAAAGTTTTATAGTAAATGAAAGTATTTACAATACAATAACTATTGTTAATTACAGAAATGTATAGTTAACTCTAGCTTAATTTTTGTTAGGGCCACTCCGGTGGCTAAATCTTGACCAGTGGGACATGAATATTACAATTTGGTATAGGGCTAATTGTTCACTAATTGTTCAAAAAATAATCAAACAGTTTGTAGTTAGATATCTAGGTAAACGATTTTTAAATGTGAAATATATTTTCAATGTTTAACCAACCAACATGTCTAACCAAGTCCTTCTATGATACCAGACATCTGGACCAAGGGTCATCGAATTTACAATTTTGTCTGAAGGCTAATATTTTATTGCATGAATTAAGATAGATTAACCCTTCATATGATTATTATCATATAATAACGCCTTTTCACTTTGTGTTGTAATTTTACTTTGTGTTATAATTTATTCATCTATTGTCTGATCTTCTCATATTCCAATCACATAAATAAAACTGAACGAAGGGATAATATAACATATAGTACTTTGCGTTTCCAAGTGTAAATTATAACTGAGTTGTGTGCAATCGAAAAGTTTGACATCATGTTTAGCTACGTAGCTTGAATTACCTACGTACAGTGAAGACGCCAGTTACATGTTTATCCACGATTATTGTCGGTATTTCTTTAGCATGTAATCATTTACTTCTTAACAGCACTTGTCCAATCACTATATATTTAGCTACATACATATAGCTTGCCTACGTAGAGTGAAGTCGCCAATTACGGGTTGTGTCTCAATTCCGATGTATTCGTATGTACTCGTATATATTTTATGCCATAATAATTATTGTTTAAACTGAAACACAGAAAAATTAATAAACAAACTTAAGCAAGACAAAAGTTGTAGTTAAACAATGATAGCTGCAAAGTATGGTACTTGCATTCAGTTATAAATCAGAAATCATTCATAATGATTACTGCGCAAATTAATTTACACTGATTAATAAATCATACTGTAGCAGCGGTCCACATACCTCATGACATGGAACATATCAAAGCTCAACATACTCAATATTCAAAATCTAGTGTCAATTTTTTATTAACTTACAATTATAAAAGTTTTCTCCAAGGAAAATATAAAATGTGAAATTGTGTTTCCCTTGAAAAAATAAAATAAAATTTATCCCCTCGCAAAGAAGTTGCAGAGGATACAGTAACGCTCGTGTGTGTGTATGTGTGTGTATGTGTGTGTGTGTGGGGGGGGGGGGGTGTGAGTGAGTGAGTGAGTGAGTGGATGCATAACAAAAAGTTAAGCAAGTAAAAATTCATATCAGGATTTACTTACTCTTTTGCGAGGGGATGCTCCGCTTTGCAGTGCCCTTGTTGGCGTTATAAAGCCTTTTCACTTTGCGTTATTACGCCTTTAGAAGAGGCGTTATTCATGTTTTAATTTTAATCTGTAGATTGTCCTAATAGACTTTCATAGTGAAGCGACGTATCAGGACAAAAATGTTTGTATATATAACTCAACATCTTGCAATTGTTGAGGTAATTATACCCCACGCAACAAGTTGCGGGGGGTATAATGTTTTTGACCCGTCCGTCAGTCAGTCAGTCAGTCAGTGTGTCAGTCAGTCAGTCCGTCAGTCCTGTTTTTTTGTCAGCGCAACTCCTCATAAACCGCTGCACAGAATTTGGTCAAACTTTGCAGATATTTAGGACACAATGTGTAGATGTGCATATTACCAGGAAATTCCGATTCCTTCATTTTTCTGGGAATTTCGGCACTCTTCAACTTAGATTTTTGGCCATATCTTGAATATAGAGATGAACAGTTTGTCAGCGCAACTCCTCATAAACCGCTGCACAGAATGTGGTCAAACTTTGCAGATATTTAGGACACAATGTGTAGATGTGCATATTACCAGGAAATTCCGATTCCTTTATTTTTTCTGGGAATTTCGGCACTTTTCAACTTAGATTTTTGGCCATATCTTGAATATAGAGATGAAAAGATTGTCAGCGCAACTCCTCATAAACCGCTGCACAGAATTTGGTCAAACTTTGCAGATATTTAGGACACAATGTGTAGATGTGCATATTACCAGGAAATTCCGATTCCTTTATTTTTCTGGGAATTTCGGCACTCTTCAACTTAGATTTTTGGCCATATCTTGAATATAGAGATGAACAGTTTGTCAGCGCAACTCCTCATAAACCGCTGCACAGGATGTGGTCAAACTTTGCAGATATTTAGGACACAATGTGTAGATGTGCATATTACCAGGAAATTCCGATTCCCGTTATTTTTTCTGGGAATTTCGGCACTTTTCAACTTAGATTTTTGGCCATATCTTGAATATAGAGATGAAAAGATTGTCAGCGCAACTCCTCATAAACCGCTGCACAGAATTTGGTCAAACTTTGCAGATATTTAGGACACAATGTGTTGATATGAATATTACCAGGAAATTCCGATTCCTTCATTTTTTCTGGGAATTTCGGCACTTTTCAACTTAGATTTTTGGCCATATCTTGAATATAGAGATGAACTGTTTGTCAGCGCAACTCCTCATAAACCGCTGCACAGAATTTGGTCAAACCTTGTTATTTTTGCCTTAAGAGTTTTGCTTATTATTGAAGAAACTTTCCAGCTAGGTAATAAGGAAATCCACTGGAATCAGCTTTTGTAATTAAATTTTATGTGAAATATTTTATGACCTTAAAAGACCCCTATTGATTTTGAGATCAAAACATTAATGATTTAACACACATACACACACACACACACACCCTCACACACTCACACACACAATCTTGGATAGTTCTCACCCCCCCCCCCTCTCAAATTGGTGCTTTGCCTTAAATAATTTCATAAGTACAGTATATGAAAACAAATTCATATGACTACATCATAATTTTGTTTCCATCAGTTATTTAAGTGTGTAAATTGTCATGCGTTGGACATGGACTTACACTCATTAACAAATCGAAATCACAAAGGAATTTAAATAACAGTTTGTCAGCATAACTCCTGCACTGAATTTCCTGAAACTTTGTAGGTATTTCAGACATAATGTATAGATTTGTATATTACCAAGAAATTTTGATTCCATCATTTATCTAGAAACTTCAGCCCAATTAAATTTGTAACATACAAAGATTTGAATGTCCTTATATGCAAAAAGTTTTGATGTGATGATTTTTTGCAAGTAATACCCCTTTTTGAATTATTATACTGTGCATTTGAAATGTGTTGCATTGTTGAGTTTTGGGGGAGCGTGGGGTATGTGAGCTTGCTCACTTTTTCTTTCATTAAATTCTGCGAGAATAATGTATACAGAATATTAACTAGTTATATGTAGTTATTTCATGCATCATTAAAGTCAGGAAAATATTTATCTAATTTCAAATTTAAACACTCTATTTATTCTTTTCTGGCGTGCAATGGTTACTTCCCTACCAAAATGAAAAATATAAAACAGAATATTAGTAACTAAATAAACTTCTTGTACTTAAGAATTCTGTTGGATGCATGTATAGACACAGCACTCTGAGTAATCTATAATGAGATATGATTTGATCCCGTGTAGCAGTAACCTCCGCTATGACGAGAACTCTGTTAGCGGGGGTGGAGGACAAGTGCATTACCGGAACCTCGTTCTGGCCCGTCAGATCAATCTGAGAGATAGGTGGGACATCTACTCACTTTAACCGTTTCTCAGGTGTTTACTGCGTAACCAACGAACACACATCATATATTCAGCACTAACTATAACATTTTGACTTTCAGATTGAAAAAAATCCAAAGTCATTGAACGCAAACACACTTTTTCGACAAATTTTACTGCCTCTTTTTTACTGCAAATTCATATTAGGCATACAATATTTGTTTCATTGAATTGTTAAATGGTATTGGCCAAACGAAAACGTAATGCATTGAAAAACGCTAGAGTAAAAAAAAAAATGTTTATTGAAATACTTTTCATATGTCTATTATATAAAGGGAGTGTCAATTTACCTCAGATATTTTATTTCAATATTTAGCTAATAAATAGTCTATAATAAAAAAAAACTACTAAAAATCTAGAGAATTTTAGCGTTTAATATCTTGCGTTTTATTGAACGCACGTATGCGAGTATGCCTCGAAGCATTCTTAATGCGAGCGTTCAATATCGACGCCCCGTTGTAAACAAAAAAAAAATCTGGTCAACCGCCCAACGACAATATTTATGGTGGTAGTAGCAGTAAGGTAAGATCTATCTATTTTAACACAAAGTTACGGAAGCCCGTTGAGGCCAGTTCAGAGATAGAAATATTTTTTATTGCGTTTAAACGCAAAACATTGCGTTTAAGCGCAATAATCATTGCGTATAAACGCAAAAGATTGCGTTTAATCGCAATGTATATTGCGTTTAAACGCAAAACACTTTGCGTTTAATCACAAAAGATTGCGATTAAACGCAATCTTTTGCGTTTAAACGCAATAACTTTGCGATTAAACGCAATAATATTTTTGCGATTAAACACAATGATTTTTGCATATTTGAAATGTGTTGAAACCAGACCGCATCTTTTCTTTAAAAAACGTTACTTTTCACGGTTTCATGCTGGCGCATAAGAATTATCACGCGGGCTTTTTTAATAAAATAATTGACATGAAGTTACAAAAATAAAGATTGATTGCTGCTACATGTAGATATAAATATTGTATGTACCGACATGGGGATTCATTAAAGCCGGACATGTGCATTTGACGGATCAGCACATGAGTTCTATTTTGGATCCAGTTTACAGAGATATTTCTAATTATCTTAATGCTAAAATTCTAATGATATCTTTTTAAAGATAATTTTCCCGTTTCTAATTAAATGCATTTAACAAAAC